GACAAGAATATAACATGTCATATTGCCATGTTATCATTTTGTCCATTTGTACATCTGATGTGTCTTAAAATTTTGTCATGTCATTAAATCATGTGAGTTAACGGTGGATTTTTAATGAATGACCGAGTTGAGGTAAAATGCGTAAATAGTAGGGATCAAGTCAGGAATTTTTTCAATTCATGAACTAAATCAAGGATCCGTACAATAATTGAGGAACTAAAAAGGGGTTTTAACCTTTAAAAAACAATTAATAGTTGATAATTAATAATTTATTAATATTTATAATTCAAAACATTTAATCTATTTAATTAAAATTAATAGCTAATAACTATTTTTTAAAAAAGTTAAAACTAATGCCCCTTACCCCATAACCACGAAAAAATTTATAGAAAAATTATTACCACCACCTGTTTGAGTTGAATTCACCATCTTAGAATTATGCAGTCCCAAAATTATAGTTTCAACTTTTATACTTTTAATTAGAAACCTCATTAGTCTAACTATTAAAGTTTTGAGATTATTTTTATAAGAGTGTTTGCTTTAGAAATTAGAAAACTTCAGTTACTACTCTTAATCAAATGATTTAAATATTTTAGATTATAAACACCGATTATCAATTATTAGATATTAAATATTAACTAGTAATTAACCATGATTATCAACTATTAAATTTTTGGAAAACATTTTAGGTGCCCACATTTCTCAGATACTGTTAAAAAGAATTGCTTCTGACCAAGCTCTTCCATGGAGTTCTGAGTCAAATCACAATTTATTTATGCTGAGGAAAAGAAACCTTACACGGTATCTGTACTGTCCAGGAGCATCCACCCATATACTACGAACAAATGAAGCACCAGTATCTACAGCATTTTCCACATCAAAGCAAGGAGTCGAACTAGCCTTTAGATCTGAAAATTTCAGACCTGCATTAATCTTGTAGAACTCAATTGCATTCCGGCCAAAGATGCCCTTAGCTGCTTCTGTGGCTTCAGCAACATGGAGATCACCATCAATACATGCATCACAAAGAACAGAAAAGATAACTCCACATGCTTTTTTGGCACCTGAAAGAAAAGCAGCAGTATTTTGAGGCAATTATCTGGATGGTGCATACACTTACAGTAAATTTGGAAATGTAAAATCTTGACTAAAAATCATATTGTAATTCATATTTCACCTTATATACACAATTCCAATGTTCTAACAAATTAACCAGTTGTTCCAAATATATCAGTAATATGGAAACGAATTTGGTGAATGACAAGGGATGGGCTGAAATGATTTACTCAAAACAACACACACCTTACTACACCCAGACAGAGTACAACAATCATTATGGTTGTACTTGGTACACCACTTATTCCTTTAGGTTTCATTAATTCTTTTTGGCCTTGAGTTTACTGATGTAAATATCACAATAACATGATTTCATCTGTTTTCTTTGACAATTTAATTAAATATTAGTCAGAATGATATAAAAGACCACAAGCAGTGGAATAATGAAGCCGAATTATACTGAAATATGATTTGAATGAAGTTAACAGTACACTCAACAAATTGTATCATTCTGTACAGAAACACATCAGCAATGTACCAGCTGACAAAACAAATCAATAATTTGATTATTGATTTGATCAAGTTTTTAAATATCACATAGAGAAGAGAAAATAAATGCATCATTAAGATTGATATTAAAGATTCATAACAAGTAAGCAGAAAAAAAAGCACAAATAGAAAATGGTGATGGAGTGCATATATAACTTAATAATTTATATCTTTAAATGAACCTAAGTAGTAAGTTTCCAGAACTGCATAACCATCAGTGCTGATCATCACCTGCAAGTTTTCCTAAGTTTAAGATCAAACAGTACAAGGAAAATACAACAAAATTATGCACATAATGAAAGGTACAAACCATGACCATAGCCTCATGGTCAGATGAAAAACCTCCTCTTTTCAAATCGCAATAAGGGGTCACAATCTAGATTTTGGTCTATGCAAATGAGGCAGGGGGATGGGGATTAGGGGGCTTACCTTCCACTTTGTGACTAAGGCTAAGGCATTTGACTAGAAATTAAAAGGCAAACCAGTCCAACCAAAAAACTCATATTCTCACACTTAAAAACCATTTCATAAAATTTGGGCAAATTCCACTAATGGATAAAGGATATATTAGCAGATGGCAATTTGACAGGACGAATCTGTAGTGGAGGAAAGGATAGGAGCTCTGATAGTGATTAGAAAAGTTAAAACTATTTCTGTTGGCTGATTTAAAAATAAAAAATAAAAAAATAAAAAAACACATATTTCTTCCATAAGCTCCTACCAGAAAGGTTAGTTTGATTATGTCCAAGCTATCTCCCAGAAAGAAATTCACTACTTTCACTGCATGAACTTCTACAGAACATGTTGATTAGAAGATGTCCATGTCCATCAATTGCTGTTATAGTGCAATAACTACACTATCCTTGATATTTGCTCAGACAATGTTCTCACCTTGTTTATTGGAGCTACCTCCAGAAATTCTTTTACTAAGGATATCATCCCATGAACACTGAGCTTGGGAACTGCCAAACCAAAGTCTAGGTAAACCTGAAAGTAAATCAACTGAGTTATATGAAGGAACCCTGGTAAGCTAAACATGAACAATGCACAGAATAAAAGCAATGTAATGATGCATGAAATTCATACTTGAGAATAAACGGAGGCTATATATGATGCTTCCTTTGAGAATGGGTATGATGCATGTAAAAGAACCATGCGACACCCAGAAAATTTCTTGTTCTCTAGAAGAGCTCGAAGATTAAGAGGATTTGAGAGCCGTAAATCCAAATCTTTGTCTCCAAAGCTAGTTGTTGGAAAAAGGAAACAACATAAGCATTAAGTACCAAGAAAAATTAAAAGCAAATAGAGTTTATCTTAATGGCCTTTAGCTCATTATAGAATAACAAAAGATGACTTGGAACCTCCTGAGCTATTTAGAAATTCATGAAAGGACATGGGCAAGGCCACTCCATTTATCACAAGTCCCAGCAAGCACTAAATATTTTTGGGAGCAAAAACTTAAATTCAAATGACAGAACAACTTAGACCTCCTGACACCTCTTGACATAGGTATTGACACCAAGATTCATCTCCTTTTGTCAGCCATAAATAAGAAAATAATTAAAATACAATTTTAGAATATCAAGAGCTTCTCTTACCCTGTGTGTATCTGCAATGGAAGATCATAGCATACTGCAACCTCCAAGCTTCGAACAAAAATATAATCAATAAAGCTTTTATTTGTAATATGGACAGGCTTCCCAGATGGAATAAATGTCATTAGAAATTTAAAATATACATATCTCTGATAAACAACAAAAATTCCAAATTTACATTCTATACCAACCACATAGAACTTCAAAAAGACCTTCTTCAGCATCTTCGTGGTGACATTAGGGTTGATGTCCAAGACCACTTTGATATGCAGCTATACTTTTCAAGCCAACAATCCCATCAGTCAATGTGGCAAAAATGTTAAGGAAATCAACTAAGAAAACAAGCTTTTCTGTTATCCATTCTTCCTACTGACATTTTCTGCCCTTTTCCACACACTGGTGTTCCCCTCAAAGTACATCATTTGTAATTCACAATTTTGTTTTATAAATTGCATACAGAAATGGAGTTTAAAAGCAACAAGGCATTGGCCACTTTACAGTCAAATCCTGCTAGAAATAACTGCCATTATTTATAAGAGATCAAGTGGATAAGATAAATGAGATGTTGAAAGGTGCAAGGAGCAAGTTTGAGTCCCTTGTTTTATGATGCAGACAAGATGACTATGTTTTATGATGCAGACAAGATGACTAACAGAAAATATCTACAACTACTTGTTGTAAGGATATGACCTCAAACTTTTCACAAAAGTTTCAGTGAACTTATTCAATGTCCAAGTCGATCCATCTGGCTCCTGTAAAGATGGAAAAGCAAGACAAAGAGAAGATCAATTTAAATTTTATCATTAAAAACCAAAAATTAGCTAGACAATTTGAGATAAAGAGATTTGCTGCCAAACTAGCAACTTAATATGTGGTAGTTAAGACCTTCACTTCCATGATTCCATCCTTGAGGTTTTAAAGTAACATGCAAATAAAACTTGGCCATCTCTGAATGGAAAAGGTCAAATCATGAAAAGCTGCATGCTGCAACAAACACGCAAGGAGTGGACTGGACTTGTGACTCATTACTATGCAAACACATTACACAGCTCATAAATTTGGAACCTCATGCACAAAATGCTTATTCTTGATGTTCTTTTATTAAAGGCATGGCACTATGTCCAATTTGTTATCCTTGGCACTTCAGGCACTTTGATATCATCCAAGCAACACTATTTCATGCTAGTAGCTGAGGGTAAAAAAACTCAAAATTGATTAAACCATGTCTCCATGGCAACTTCCTTCCTTCTATCCAATACAATACTGCAATGTGCATTCAGTTCACGCAGCCGAACTTAATAAATTATATAATGACATGGTTAGGTCAGGAACAATACAATCAGTTATGAATGATGCAATCCATAGGAGTATAAAAAGTGAAATCCTTTTTTGATAACAAACCAGGCATGGCATACTTTCTCCAATTTAAAATTAATCAATACATAGGACAGGATAGTGAGAGTAAATGCATCTCCAAATAAATAATATGCTCATTCATTATGCCTGCAGTATCATGTAATTTGAATTTGAGTAAGAAAAAATCCGACAGCATCTTACTCCATCAAGAATCTGCTCAGCTAGGCGTTCAATTCTCAATATCCTACCAGCAAATGGAACAAGACTTCTGTGCCACTCAATATCATGCATCTCGTCCAATTTTAATCCATCATCAATGAGTACAGCAGAGATTCCTGCAGCTTTAAAGCATTTCAAGCTAATGGCTTGCAATCCAGATAATCGACGATATTCTTCAACAGCATCCAAGGATGATTCTGAGCCGTAGAGTTCAGAAATCTCCCTCAAATTCCTCTGATACAAAAACAAAGCAATGAGTAAAAACGTTATTGTAAGGACACACGGACAAAGTAACCAAAATAAAAGTAAGGAAAGGAGTGATGTGCGGAGGAAAGGCGATGGCGTCGCCTTCACGGCAGCGGTGGAGTCAAATAAAGAGAGTAATTTGTATACATGAGAAGAGAAAGTTAGAGCGGTACCTTGAAGGAGAGAGAGTGAGGAGTGAAGGATAAGGCGTCGCCGGTGGCTTCAGAGAAGGAATTGATGAACGGGAAGGTGGTGTCGACAGAGACGATGTTGTGAGCATGACCGTCTACCAGCTCCATTTTCTCTATTGCCTCTCTTAGCTCCCCGAATTCCATCTCTCTTCTCTCTAACTTCCTCATCTCAATGATGCAGAAGCAAAGCAGCCACTCACTTAGATTCTTTCTCAACAAAAGTTCAGGTAAGTTAGTACCAGCATATAATCTTAAATTACTAAAAAAATACAAATGCTATGGAACGAAAATAATCAAAATATCACTTCTAATTGTATATTGAGCATGTTATATTACTAAATAAAAAAATAGGGTTAAAGCCAACTCTCGTCCCTATACTTTGTGAAAAAATTCAATTTAACCCTTCTACTATGTAATCACCTCAATTCGTCCCTCTACTTCATTTTGAGCTCACATGTCCTCCCTTTACCATTCAAAAGGTGATCAATTTCGTCCCTCCATCCATTCTGGCTAGCACCGTCGCTTTTATCGTCAAAGCCTAACAGTTTGGCGTTTAACATATATTTCTACATTATTCTTTATTCAATTTAACTATAATAGGACCCACCAATACCACATCATATTCTATATTAATATCTTTCTACAGGAATATTTTACCAACATTTTTTCTTTTCAGTTATTGGCCATGCACCTGTCCCTTCAGATCAATTAGTAATCTGTCAGCTTGAGGTGTATTTTCTTTTTTTTTTATGGGTAGGTTTTGAGTCCGTGTCCCTTGACAACTTATTTAAAAAAACAAAAAAAAAAAAGTTATTAGCCACGTTTATTTACCTTTTTCTATTCATTTTTTAATTGAGTCAATTAAAGAAATATTTTTTAAAACTATGTAGATAATCAAGTGAATTTAATTTTTTTTTAAAAAGAAATAGATAAAAAAAATTTGAATTTTATTAAGGTTCAAAAAAATTATAACTAGAAAAATAAAATTTCATGATGCCTATTATATTATTATTTCTTTAATTATAAG